ATCATTCAATAGTACGTAAGTAAAATTTTAAGGCTACTCGGTAGAGGTAAATACGGTGACAACTAGGATTACATGCATCCACAGACAAATCAATATCAAACGACACCGTCGACGAAAACAAAAGCAAAACAAGAAGGTTATGGAAAGTCAAGCAATAACAATTAGAAAGGTTACTTCAAATTGTTTTTGCCTCCAAGGTATATCAGATATGCTACTTAAACATATATTTCCTCCTTTCCAGACACATTAAATCAGATTAATTACGTGAACCTGAAACGAAAGAAGAATCGAACACAATGGTTCGAAAGAAGCACCGTAATTAAAATTAGGAAAGAATAACCAAATGTTGCATTCACCATCACTTTCTTCGACGGTTGGCCAACAAAAAGAAGATTTACAAACCTGTCTCCTCACGAATACAATGAAAATTACAGGGAATTATCGCTGTTAATCGTTGAACAGGCCATATTTCGTGCTGCCTTCGCTCTGCCTTGCACTGGAATTCTCCGGTGACGTGTTTGGAGTGACATTGTTCGTCTGGCTCATGCCCAGTCATGTCTCATATAACCAGGGCAGGTGGGAACTCGGACTGATGATGTTCCTTTCCTCTATTTTTATTTTTACTACGTTTCCTTTAACTTGCGTCATCTGCGATAAAAAAAATTTCGGTTAAGTCGACTGTCAATTCTGAGCTGAATTTAGGGACAAGTTTATTGTGTGAACGTTATACCCTCTACTTAAGCCTTAACGATCCTTTTCGTTTCGTTTTGGAGTCGATTCCCTTTTTTCGTGCGTAATTGCCACTCAAGCCACCCTTGGAAGTCACTCTGGAATTGGTTTATGTCCGCACTAAAACATATCAGTGATATTTCTTTCAGACCTTTCAAAATATGAGTGAAGTTATTCGCTGTATTTCACCTCAATTTCATTCTATTCTGTTGAGAAAACAACGCCAAGTGTACGCCTATTCGGCCCTGAACTGTTTCCCTAGCTACCCACCAGAGAATAATACTGGTACGTTCACTGTTTTAAATGAGCTGTTACTGACCTGCCACGACGATCAACTATAGTACGCTCGGTTGTAGTCAGTTACATTTTTATAATCTCTTTCTCTCAAACCAACGGCGTAATACCAACATCTATGTATTTGACACGATCTTTGCGAGTTGAAAAGAAAGTAATTCAATATGATAAACTGACTTGATTTAACATATAGAGAAGCCTTGACTGTGCTCTGTTCTGTTATAAAGCACTTAGGAAGCGGCTAGAGCACGAAAGAAGTGTAGGGAGAAACACTCGACTATGTCTCGTGTTTCTCCCCACTTCTTGAGCGTTCTTGCCGCTTCCTAAGTGCTTTATAACAGAACAGAGCACACTCAAGGCTTCTGTAGTTGTTTTATAATAAAGAATCCGTTAAATTCCCCAAGCATTACTTTCAATTCTCAAAACAAACTTTATTTCCAAAGCGAACAACAGTGTCGTCAGCATGCTCTATACTCTCATAGAGCACGCTCTTGCAACCAATGGCAGCGAGCGTTATATCCGAACTTTATTATAAAGCGTAAATTGGCCACCGTAAAGAGTTTCAAAGCTGACGTTTCGAGCGTTAGTCCTTCGTTAGAGCGAGTGATGAAGGGTTAACTCTCGAAACGACAGTTTTGAAACTCTTTACGGTGGACAATTTACGTCAGCAACTCAGTTGATAATATCATAGTTAGTAGACTACTAACTATGATAATATTAAATTACCCCATATACTTTCCAACCGAAGCAGCACCACAGTTTCTTTGAAAACTTACCCCTTCGTAAATGAAATAAGGTTCATCAGACAGGGCTTGAGATCTCTGCAAGCTCTTGTGACCTGGCTTTTAACTTATCGCGTGAATATGTCTTCGACCCTCAAAATTAAGCAAACAGCAAACTGAATTATTCAATACGAAATGAAAGCAAATTTGGTGCAGTTGCCCCAAAAAGGCCGAAAAGGGATGGCGCGCAAAGTGTTAGCTGTCACAAATTCGTCAAAAAGCTTACGGTTAAAGGCTGACGTTTCGTCAGCCTTTAAACTCTTTACGGGGGCCAATTTACGTTTTCCACTCAGTTGATAACACTGTTTCATTGCCGAGATCAGCGTAATATATAGTTTCTTTAGAGAAATGCACATCTAACTCTTGATCATTAACCCTCAGTGATAAATCAATAAAAACGGGAAATTAGATAAGCGGAATAAAGAATTTACGACTAATTCGTTGATTATCTGGGCCACCCTAGTAACTAATGTCTTCAATTGCTAACTTGAAAATCTTTGTGTGTTCAGTCTAGCGTTTACGAAGCACAGATAAGATGGGTATCACTGAACAAAACAGCCAGTTTAGTTAGGTTAGCTCTGCTCTTAGGTGCCTTTGAACTATTTGTGCTGGAAGATCACGGATAATGTTTCCTAACAGGTTAAACTTCGTTGTAACCGCATTTAGTTTTAGGGGTCCAATGCTTCTAACACCGGTGGGACTCCCTACCAGATTCAGACTATTCAGGGAAATAATTGTTTCGAGAATGAGATAAAGACAGCACCTTGGCATCATGATCAGCAACAATACTGTCTCATGATTTAATTTAAATTTGTCAAAGCAGTAAAAAATTCAAAGGCATCCAAGGCTACCAACCATTGATATGACAACTTAAGATTCCATTGGAATTCCCAAGTATTCACTCTGAGATCTTCTGAAAGTGTTTGAGGATCACAGGCACTTAGGGGGTTTGCAAACAAAACTCAGAGAGGCCACTGTCTAATTAACTTGAGGGGCTTGGGATAAAAGATGTGGACACACCATTTTGATGGATTCAGATGTTTCTGGGCTGTATTAGCAATGAGACTTGCACCAATAACCCAAGCTGTAAAAACATTGACCATGTTTCCAAGAAACTGTAGGTCACTCAGAGTGTAATGCTTCATATATTTATAGAGCACCATCAAACAACAGACATAAAACTGGGGCTAGAAGATATGATGGTGAGTTTTTTGAATACTCTACTCTAGATTTATTTAAAATATATACAGTGAAATTTTTAGATTGCATTTAGGATTTAAACAATTGATTACTTTCACTCTCACTGTCTTTTCCAAAGAATGTTTTCTGCAACACTTTTCTCAACAATGACAAAAAGCTGCATAGCTGACAGGGACAACAGTTCCCTTAAAAACTCACAAAGCTTATCTTCATTGCCAATACACTGAGGAGATGAAAGTTTGGAGTCTAAATTGTAGTAATTGTCATTTATTTTACGAACTGCAAACCAATGAGGCCTTTTGATAGGTACTTCCAGCCAAACTAGGTTAACATTTGAAGGTTTATTCACAACAAATCCAAAGATGTGTTGAAGGTTTAAACATTCAACTTTCCTGCAAGGTAAAAGTGGGATAAATAAAATCATTCCTGCTTTCCAGTTTTTGCTCTGACAAAGGAATACAGAGGACAGTTTACATCATCAACTCATTTAATGAAACCAAATTACCTTATTATACCCCTAGACTAAATAAACACCTTAGTTTCTTTAAAAACTTGCCCCCTTTATTCATTTGCTTACTATCATACTACTTTTAATTGGTATGGTTTGTTGGCCTGTAGTCTAAATCTACTCAAATACTGCTGAGTGGCTCCATAAGAGTGCCACTCTCATGAGATTTGTACCTCTCTAATCTAAGCTATAAAATAGTTCTAGGCACTTCAAACAGAAAATACCACATTTAAACTTTCATGGAGTTACCTATCATAAGATAACTATAACCTTTCAAGGGATGGACATTTGTTCACAGTAGCATTAAGAATCTTTGAATGCCTGATAAGAAAGCTTAAGATCCTGGAGGTCATATTGAATATCGTCCTTGATGATACACACAACATTATATCCACAATGATCCTAAAGAATTTTGAAGGAGTTTTGAAAGCAATTCAATCCAGCTCTTCTCTCATAAATTTGTGTTTATGTGTATTTTAAACTTACTCTAAATCAGCTATCGAGTACATGTCAAGTAAACAAAAATTGTCTACTATCCTCAGCTTTTTCCCTATTAAATTAGCTTTTACTTCTCCGAGACTACTCACAATCTCTTGTCAAACCACACTGCTTCATATTCCCTCGACTGCAAGGCCACCATCAAAACATTCACGTCATAATTTCCCAAGCCAAGCATATTTTTGTGCGGATTGACGAAAGCGTCTGGGCTAAGCCGGTAGCTGATGGCATCTAGGTCTGCCTTACTGTAGGCATTCTTGTCTTGGAAAAGGTTGTTTAAGGTATGAACTGCGCAAAGCATTTGTCTTTGTCGCTCATGATAGATCTCCATTCTTGCAACAAATTGGCTGGAACATTAATGACTTTTTACACAAACGAATTATTCATGTAGAAGAGATCCCGCTGTCCACCGTAACGTGTTGATTCGCTCATCTTTCACACACAAACAACTATATAAAATTGTTTTGAATTAATTTTTCCAGAGATTAAATTTCTTATAGATCGATTATTCAGTTTCTGTCTCTTTAACGAAACCCAGCATCGTCGACCCTCAACTCCTTGTTTTAAAAATTTCCCATCTAGATGTTTTTGAGGAGACCTGGGAACAATAACATCAACTAATACCACGCAAGCGTTATCTGATGAAATTTGCCTCATTTACAGTGAAAAACCCTTAGACTATTTATATTGTTGTTATTATTGTCAGAGGGACTTGTGTTGCATCACATTTCCTCAGGAAACCAGCGTTTGGTGAAATCAGTGGCTTAAAGCAGACGATTTTGCACACTTTCTACCAAACTTAGAGTGTTATTCCCACAGTACCGACAAGGACTGCATACGATCTAATCAAGCTCATACTGTAGCTAACGCTGGCTTACCTTGTTGATTCTAGAGTTCCAGATATTTTCAGCAAGGAGTGGTCTTGATGATCGACGATTTCGGTGGGTATTATTCAATTTTATCAAAAAGAAACGTGGAAAGTTTCTTGAAAGCTTTAGTGATAATGTCAAAATAGATAAGGAGTATAAGATATTAAGAGCTACCTCGTAGATTTTCTATTGATCATGATAGGATTTATGTTACGAGGGTGATTAAGGATATTTAGTTAAACTCCAGGTTCGAAGTCTTTACATATATGTTATTTCCATTTATGTATTTGAGGTTATTTCTTTTCAAAGTTATTATTATTTGCGGTTGAGACCCATTCCTTTCTATTTCATTTTCTGGTCATCAAATTTTTGTTATTTGTTTTTTTTTTAGGTCTTCTTGGTGTAATTTACATAAAAAAGAATGAGTGCGCTTACAGAATCAATCAATGTGGAGGAGAAATTCTCAGGATCATCTTTGAATGGTAGACAAGAAGGATCTCTAGAGAGTGCTAACAACCTATTTGCTCCAGACAGTGGTGGGGAATTTGACTGTGATGGTAGCAACACATTAAATGGTGCAGAAAATGCAATTGATCCACGGGTAGGAACAAATTTATGATGGCTTGCCTAGATTTATGATGAATATTTTGATTTCTGAGCATTTTTTTTAATAGTAACTTTTCATTTTCAGTTGTTTTTGTTACATTTATTTGATAAATCAATCATATGGAATGAATTGTTTTGAATTACTGATGATGAAAAGTATGCAATTGATCCTCCTAGGTAAACTGTAATTTAAGTAATTGCAGCAAAAGAAGCCTGAAAAACTCAGGCTTAGATGGGACTCAAAGCCTTGCCTTCTAAATACTAATTCAATGCTACTGCATACTGAACTATGAAGCCACATGTAAGAAGTGAGGCAAGTTGGGGTCTCTGTTCACAGTAAAAGGAAATAAGCCATACCAACCTTAACAACCAATTAAGCTATGCAGTCACACATCAGAAAGAAAGGGAAGATTCTGAAAACTTGCTTTGATTAATGGAAAAGTTGATTTGTGATAATTTCATGTATCTTCCAGGTTGCCTTGATCAGTCCAGATGATGAACAATTTGATATTTTACTACAAAAACTTAAGGAAAGGTTAGATGAAGGACATGGTGAAACTATCTATGAAGTTGGTGTTGGGGGTAAGTAATCTTAATACTGTTTTCTTGAGTGAATTCATAAATTTTTTATTCTTGAGTGATTTTTCTTCATGCTGTGGCTAAATTAATGTGGACAAGCTTGAAATATAGGGGCCATTTAATCGTCATATGGCTCATGGAGCAGATTCCATGAGAAGAAAGTAATTGAATGAAATAAGCTACCACTCCTTATGGAAGTGTTTTGTAGTAATAAGGAGGTGATGTAGTGGGTATTATAATTGGACTATTTTTGATGAGATCATTAAGAGCTGATTTATTCAGCAATTCTCCTTCTTGCCTTTATGCGCTGCCACCTGGTCAGTTCAGGTTGTAATGCACCAGACTGCTGTGTGTGACATGAAGGGTTCACTCCCTGAAGTGGACCAACAATGAGGGTCTTAAAATAGTTGAGGGGAATGAGCTGCTTTTGCTACAACAGTTGCAAATGGTTAGACAGTCTAGTATTCCCTGATAAGAATGATAAATTGTAGGCCTTTCTCCTGCTTCTTTTCTGTACTGGTGGGCAAGCATTGTTAAAGAACCCACACACTTCTATGAAGATCAGGAAATGTAGCTCCCAGTGTGACCTTGATTTTCGAAATGGGAACATCTGCCTAAATTTCTTTCAAACTGCTCAATGTAATCTGGTTTAAGTCTGGTTTAAGTGCAAAGTGTTACAAAGTACAATGAGTTATGGTGCTGTAGTAATCCTTCATGATCAAGGTTATAAATTTTGTTGTGGATATTTTGGGAGAATTTGGTGCTATATGGTAATGACACCCTCTAGCTGAGGGTGTGTACTCTCATCACTGGTTTGCCAAATTCTCCTGATGGATGTAGCTTCAAACAATACAATGCTCAATTTGATACTTGTCATCAGATGTACTTATTGATTTTCAATTGAAGATGGAGCAGCAAGTGGACTCAGTGAAGAGGATCTCAAAGCATCAGTGGATTCCTTGAAACTATTAGCCGAGTCCTGTAATGCTGATGTTGTCCTGCTAAGAGAGAAGCCAGCAGAGGAGGGTACTGTTGCTGAATATCTTGTCCGTAATAGAGTGGACGAGAATGATTTCATGGAAGTGAGGTAAACAACCTTGAGTACCCGGTAATGCCTTTATTCCTTTTCCCCCATTCTTGTATTAGGTACCTGTAATTCGGGTTACGAGTTTCAAGGGAAAAATAGTGTAAAAAAATAGACTTAAGTTGGCAAGAAAGCCCAGTAGAATCCCAGTAGATGCTGTATTGAGAAAAGTAAAAAAAAATGATCTTTGAAACCCTTTATTCAATTCTGTTCAAATTCTATGTGGACCTGAGATGCATGACTCAAGCTTGCTTTTTCTTTGTTGGGAGGTGGGGGAGGGGTTGGGGCCTCTTTAGACCAACAAAGGGTTCAGGGCCTAAGAAATGTTCAGATCTTTTGTGAACAGAAGGTTAGGGAAAGTAGCATACTCCAAAATGGCTTCATGCTTAGTAATCTTCTTTATCCTGGTTGATAATGTTGTCTTAATCCATCTATTTTGGTAGGGTGGCAGTGGTAGGCAATGTAGATGCTGGCAAAAGCACTTTACTTGGTGTACTGACTCATGGAGAGCTCGACAATGGCAGAGGCATGGCAAGACAGAGGCTTTTCCGACATAAGCATGAGATGGAATCAGGAAGAACAAGTAGTGTGGGAAATGATATCCTGGGATTTGACAGCAGAGGAGATGTGGTGAACAAGCCAGATACCCATGGTTAGAAAACTCTTTTAAAGAAATTATTGTGTATACTATATACCCATGTTAGGAGAAGGCACAGTGCCCCCTCTTGTCTAGGCAGTAAAAGATAAAAAGCTCTTTTAGTAGTCTTTTTAAGGGATTTACAAATACCTTTACAGATCCATATTAACCAACCCAATTTAACAGTGCTTTTAAGCGCTGTTAATTTGAGTTGGTTGATAAGGAAGGATGTCTGATATATTTATATATTTGTGTCCCAGGAGGAGGACTTGATTGGTCCAGGATATGCCAGAAGTCTTCAAAGGTTTGTTGTAATTCTATCTTCTTCCTTTTTTTGTTGACAGAGGGGAAAGCTGAAAATTTACCTTTATATTTGTGACCTATTTAATGCTGGCACACTCTGACAATACAATACAAAGGGGGCAATAATTGAAAAACTATCTAAAAGTAAGGGTTTTGTTTTTGTTCTTTCACAGGTCATCACTTTTATTGATCTGGCAGGGCATGAAAGATACCTGAAAACAACAATTTTTGGAATGACAGGACATGTGCCAGACTTTGCTATGTTGATGGTGAGATGTCATATTGATGTGCAATAATTTACTTTTGCTTTATCCACCTAAATTTTCTTTATTGATTGAGGATTGACCATAGCAATAATTTTTGTTGTTTGGACAAAGTGCAAACAAGAATTTGAGAAAGGAAAAATTACATGAAAATAGTCTTTTTACCACTCTGAGTTGAATTGGGAATTTAAAAGAAATCCCTAAAGAACTTGACAATCGAGGTCTATCTCGTAAGTTTTCAGGCGAGTACTTTTCTCAGGGAACCAAAAGTAATTTTAGTATGGTGTATGGTGTTTCACAAAGATCTTTGTTTTTGTTGTTATTTTTTTCTCATTTAGATTGGGTCAAATGCAGGAATTATAGGCATGACAAAAGGTAATAGGATTTAGTAGGATATGGATAGATACAGTCCAACTTATAGAAGGTAGTTTCATGTTTGTGAACAATGATTCTTGTAAGCTCAAACCCGAGTTTATTACAATGCCTAGTGAGGATATGGTTTGCTTTGGTATTGAAGGTGATAAATTTAGTAAAATGTAGAAAATTTCTGCCTCAAATTGCATATCCATGTTAAGAAAATTGCGCTGACAGGCTTGTGGTTGTAACACTTTACTCTTTTACTTGCCTTCTCTGCCTAAGATTACAAGTAGGTCTTGGTGACTTGCAAGTGCAGTAGGGAGAAGTAGTAAAGGGCTACCTGCAGTTTATTACTATATGTCTTTATATTGCTCTTTTGGACAAAGTTTCACAGCATTTTTTTATTCATTTATTTTTTTACTTACCAGAGCATCTAGGGTTGGCCCTAGCACTCAATGTCCCAGTGTTTGTGGTGGTGACCAAGATTGACATGTGCCCGCCCAATGTGCTACAGGACACTATGAAACTCTTATCCAGGATTCTAAAATCACCTGGCTGCCGCAAAATCCCTGTCATTGTTCAAAACAGTGATGATGTGGTTGTCTCAGCGACGAACTTTGTTTCTGAAAGGTAAGAGCCCAAGTTAAGTTCGTGAAAGAAAATGGTTGGTCTTAATGGGGGCAGACTGTACTTTTATTTTCTGCGAATTTCAAGAATAACTTCTTACTAGCCGTGCGCAGGGGCCTTAGTGGGAAATATTGGCCCGGGGGAATTAAGGACCGAGCGCAGCGTGGTCCGTACAAAAATGGCCGAGGGCCACATTCCATATTCATCAAAACGGCTAGAGCAAGCAAAGTTAGTAGGTAGTTTATTATAAAGCACTCGGACCAAACTTGTATATTTAAATTTGCCGGCGTTCGCAAACAAAAATACACAGCTTATGCCGTCCGTATAGCAAGATTGCGACAAAGTAAGAACCAATCAGAACACTCAGATTTACCTCAGGACTGCCTGACTAAGTAATAAATTCATGTATCAGGTCAGAACTAATTGAAAGCACATTGATGCAAGTGCCAGAAAAGCTGCTGATGTTTAGACTAGTCGGTAACTAATCAGTTAGCGTTTGTTTTTCTCAGCTAGTTCATTTTTTTTTTCGGAGAACATTTTTGGGCTACTCTAGGACCATGCAAGATTTTAAGCCCTCATAAGAGTAAATCTTCAATAGTTATGGAAGTTAGAGCAAACCTCAGATGACGTGTACGTCTCGATCTTTCTTTTGAGTTGTTACATCTTGACTGTGTGAATAAAACAAAATAATCGAAGGGTCCTTTGTAAAGGCCAAAATCACTGATCTTCAAATCACTTTTACAGGTAATCACGATATTCAGATGTGATTCTTTTCTTCATTTTTGCCAGGGTTTGCCCAATATTTCAGATTTCCAACGTAACCGGTGAGAACTTGGACCTGTTAAAGATGTTTTTGAATTTGCTCTCAATTCGAGCTCACTTCAGGAAAGATGAACCATCTGAGTTCCAGATCGACGACACTTACTCAGTACCGGTAAATAAAAATGTCTTTGTTAAATATCAGATAAAGCAAATTTAACTGAACGAAACAAACCATAAATGAGAAATATAACACCAGTGTGTGCACCAGAAACTATAAGTTTGGTATATTAAGATCTAACTAATATTCCTCTTTTCCAAGTTCCATAATTTTCTTATCGTTAGCTGGGATAAATTGTTGCCTTTTCTATGCCAGATCCCCAAATTCGTGCTTGCCTTTATTCGCACTACCTTTTTGCTTTACTTAGTACTCGCACAAAAGCATGTAACAGGGTTTTCATGAAAGCAAGTTATCGCTGGTTTATCGCCGGCCCATAAGTCCTCTCACCGCTGTCTATTAAGCTTGTGAGCGGGCTCTCTTGTTTAAATTCCGCCTTACGGTCTCTTTATTGGCACAGCCGCCTATAACACCATCGGCTGCCGTTTATGGAAAAATTTATTGAAACCCCCAGAATTCTTTGCTATACGCTTCTGATTGGTATCAAGAAGGAGAGTTTCTTGTCTTGAATCAAAGTTTTGGATGATTTAGGGTGTTGGTACAGTTGTATCAGGCACGTGTCTCCGAGGTACCATTCGACTGAATGACACCCTTCTACTCGGCCCAGATCCTTTGGGTCAGTTTCAACAAATCACGGTGAAGACAATTCATCGCAAGAGAATGCCAGTAAAGGAACTCCGTGCGGGACAAACGGCTTCCTTTGCTCTGAAAAAGGTGGGTAATATCTGAAAATCGTATATTTGAACGGTGGGGTAGCTATATTAAAGTATAAAAGGAAATCATAGTTATGTTGGATGTGGAAATGCAGACTTAGCAAAATTCGGATTTAAGTCGGAAATCGATGTCCTGATCGCCTCGCGGGGGAGTGGTAAGGGGGATTTAGGAGCCATACCGTCCCATCTCATTGCATGTTAATTCTTCGCCTTCATCGAAGGAAGATTAAGTAAAAGATTACGTAAAGTACAGGGCTGCGAGGATATTATTTCCGGTGTCACCAAATGTAGTATGTTTTTTTTTTCGCCTTCAGATAAAAAGATCACAGATACGTAAAGGAATGGTTATGGTGGATAGACAAGTGAAGCCTCAAGCATGCTGGGAATTCGAAGCCGAGGTGTTGGTTCTTCACCACCCGACAACCATCAGTACAAAATACCAGGCAATGGGTTAGTATGCTGAGAAGGTTAAATACTAAAATATTGCAGCGATTCTAATGGAGCTTTAGATGGTCGATAGAAAAAAAGGCGGCCGAGCTTTGAAAACGAGAAGCGCACTTTTAACCCATAAACTAGGGCTTCGTTACTCTTCTTCACGGCTTTGCCAATCAAAGCCTTAATGGCGCATTTAAAAGCGCCAGTCGAGTTGGCGAGCTTTTGTTTATTTTTAAGCTGTTAACTATATCTAAGACAGATAGAACGCTTTTCTACTAAGCAAAAGACAAGACTTAAACGAGCTTGCATCGTAGACAACCCTTACTAAGGGTTTTTGTGATATGCCTCAAGGAGACGATGCTCGTATTTGAAAATAGAGAGACGACTGGGAACGAGTCGGCGTCTCTGTACATGTACTAATGTATATTTAATTTATTTGTGGCATTTTATCAGTCTGACAATAATCAGACATAATCTTCAATAACGGATCTTCCAAGGACAAAATTTACTCGTGTGATCTTTATATGATTTTTTTTTGTTCAGTTCACTGTGGGAGCATGCGGCAGACGGCAACAATAATTCACATGGATAAAGACCACCTCAGAACAGGAGATAAGGCGATGGTGCGTTTTCGCTTCATAAAACAACCGGAATTCGTCAAACCGGAAACCAGAATGATCTTCAGAGAGGGAAGAACAAAAGCTGTCGGTACTATACAGCAGATCGATCCAACTGCGCATCCTCCGCCTCAGGTTGGCGGGAAAGTCAAACATCGTGGACCGGGTAGAGGCACCGCACAGTCACGCGACAAAAGCAAAGACGGAGCAAGTGCGCAGGCGTCAACAAGCTCAGAAAGAACAGGGAAAAAATGACTTGATAGTGACGTAGTTTTCTCGTATTTAATTCCATTTTTAAGGTTTTTAAGATCTTATTTGATTAGTTTTAACATAGTTTTTTTAAAATTTAGAAATTTAGGACCTCTATGGTCGTTGAAAATTTTAACATTTCTTTTATTTCTGTATTTTCTTCGGTCATATGTTGAGGACCAGGCTTTTGTTCAGAATTCCTTTAGTCTTCGACTTGACCATTTATTATTCTTAATTCAAAGCAAAAGAAAAGCAGTAATTTAAACTAAGTCATTTTAGCCGGCAGCCAGGGTAGAATTTCAGCGAAATAATGAAAATACTCTGTGTTGTCAGTCTCTACTTTCCTCTTTCTGTATGTTCTTTGGTGAAATAACTCCTATCTCACGTCTTCCCAAAAAAAAACATTTCGACGAAAATTTCGCATGTCCTCAAACAAAATTATGGCTTCGCCTTCATAGGCGGCAGTAGCCGTAAAAGTCCTCCCTGATTTATCTGGAAAAAAAACCTCAGACGAAAAGTATCTTGTGGTCCATCCTCTTTTTGTGTCTGAACGCTTCAGACACAAAAAGCTACGCTTACCACCATTTCCCAGTCAGTTACAAGATCAAACTTATTTCGTAACAATTAATTTTACTGCGGGAACAAAACAGACAATTTCATTCTCAATAAACCTCTTCCAAAGGGGTGGTGTAGTCCAAGGTAGTTTAAAGCGAATTTGATTGGTAGAAAACGCCATAGCACGTGAGAGTTGCGTGGAAAATTGCCTAACATAACCAGAATTTCGTTTCGTTTCGTTTCTTCTGTGGGTAAGACTACGTCGCAAATCCAGTTTTTTTATTGAAAAAAGTCGTGTTATTAGGCGAAGGTAAAGAGGGTAAGTTTCTAAGGAAACTGTAGTGTTGCGTCGATGGGAGAGTATAACAGGGTAATTTAGTATTATTGACTG